ATTGCACTCACAATCGCTTCGGTCAATTCTGACACCTCACTCGCGTGTGTTTTCTGTGAATTTCCTTGGTTGCGCTCGATCTCCGCCCCTTTGCGGCGTGATCCTTTACACGCTTCCTTATCAGTAATATCGGGTTGCGTTACACTAACCGGCGCGCTCATTATGGTCTGCTGAACCCAACTCCTTACGAAAGGTTCCACCTGAGTATTCCGCTCCTCATCATCCTCACTCGAGTCGATCTCCTCTTCTCGGTTGAGTCGTGCCAACTCCAATTGAACTTGGCTAAGGCAGCAGCTGCCTGTGCTCGTTCGAGCTCTGAGCGTTCGAATTTAATCCGCGCCTCTAATTCGGCTTTCAGCCTCGCCGATCGCGATGACCTACTACCTCTCTGTGACCCTTTGTCACTAGTGTGCCCAATTACTGTCCTTGACGATGCCGCTTCTTCGGTCCTTTGACCTACTTTTTCGACCACCGTTTCACTCCTGGATATAACGGATTGTTGTGCGGTGCTGGCCTGCGTACCACTGGTGTCCGTCCTGTTGCTTGTCGTTGCCATGGACGTCCCTGAGTCCCATGTGCATGTGGACGTGTCGGTGGTGGCTCCACTTGAAGGAGTTGCCCCATTTGACGCAGTAGCTGTGGTCGCTCCAGATGATTCCGCCTCTTTAGCTTTTCTTGAGAGCCCTGTTCTTGTTCTGCTCCCCTCGCTCCTCCCTGTCTGGTCTTGTGCCTTCTTCATCTTGCAGGAAGGTGATTGTTGGCCTACGGTCCCTACAACTGTCCCTTACCTACAACCCTTCTACACCCCAACCTAACACCACTACCCCTCCCCCCCTTATCTCCCACCCTACAACCCTACTACCACCCTAACAGCCCTATCACCCTTCAATCCTGAAGGGCCTACCAGTGAGCCGTCCAGGGATGGAGTCGTGCAGGAATGGAATGGAGGAAAGGTTTAGGAACTGTCCCGCCAAGGAATATGACGAAACAGTCGAGCGGTAGTGCAAGCGCAGTCTCGCTCGAGAGAACTGCTCCACCCGAAGGTGTTGTGCCAGAGCCCGACCGTTTGGCACCGTTAGGTGGTCGGGATGTATGCTGTGCTCGCCGCCCAGTTGCCGGTGACGCCTCGTCCAAGCGCCCTCCTCCGGCCGCGATGCAGTCAGGTGCCCACGCGCACCCTCGCCTGGCAGCAGCAGCGGTGGATGCTTCTTCTTGCACCCTGATGACACTCGACAGGAAATGCCGGACACGGTCGTCCGACAGGAAATGCCAGACACGGTCGTCCGACAGGAAATGCCGAGCACGCTTGCCCGACAGGAAAAATGCCAAGCCCTGCTTGGCCACGATGAGCGCCTTCACAAGGCACCTGCGCCTGGCTGCGATACGTGCCCCATGCGAGCACACGCCCCAAGCCGCAATCCCGGTTTTCTTTCTTCCGGTAGTTCCAGGTCCAGTCCTTCTGTGCTGATGTCCTGGTCTTCTGGCCTTTGGTCCTATTGCTTCAGCTCAAACCTCCGGCTTCCTTCGGTTGCTGATCTTCACTCGGCTCCGAAGGTCTTCTTTCTCCACAACCAGCAGTCCACAGCTGGTTCCTTGATCCAGCCGGCGGGGTTCGGGTGGTCCTTTTATCCGGCTCCGAAGGTCCAATTGAAAAGGAACCAAGTCCCCCGGCCAGAGGACCAATTGAAAGGACAAGGATTAAACGTTCGATTAAGAAACAGAAGGGAGGAATCGAGGCTTCTCTCGATCCGGCCTCCTATAACGCCTACGTTAGGTTCGGGAACAACGTATGTGATCTCCGCAACGGAGTAACACACAAGGGCGATAACCTCTTCCTTTTCAGCGAGTAGGTTCAGACGGGGATTACGGGTCTTCCGAAGTCGTCCCGGTCCCAACGCCTTAATTCTTCGATGTGGACTGTATAACTTGAGGGATGAATTTCTTGGGAATAAAACAGCAATCTTCATTGCAAAAATCTTCAAACCATTCCGTGAGAGAGTAATCACTTTTCCCTATCACTTCCCTACACTTTTTCCTTCTTCTTCTTATTGACTGCTGGTATGATTTCCGAACTTTTTCCCCGAACTATCTCGAAGGATTCCCGAACGAATTGCAATTTTTTATTTTTTTTGCGGCCGAAGCAATTAAAGGGCTACCCTGTACGTAGGGAGGCGGAAAATGCATTACGCATACCACGATAGCCGGTCTATCGTGGTTATGGGGGACTCACCGTCCTACCGGGGACCCTAAGTGATACCCCCTAAAAACCGCCTTTGGGGACAGGCAACCGGCTGATTAAGCTCTATTGTGCCTTATCATGAGCGACCCTCTTTTGGGAAAAGAGGGCGCAGGCGGCTAAGTGCCGCTGAGGGAGTGCCTACGAAGGCAAATCAATGTCAGTTATTACAATAATTTTATTTAATTAGAGTTGGCCTGAGCTGCCAGGAGACAGTTCAGGTCGTTTGAAAGTTTATTAGGCGGGTCCGAGAGAGAGTTTCTCGGCCTGCGGACACGATAGCGAGAGGGGGCCAAGAACCCCACGATATTGCGACCACGAAGACCTAAGAAAAAGTTGGTACTCAAAAAAGATTTGCGTGGGCAAAGACGGGGCGGTAGGAACGAATTGCAATAAAACCCATTCACTAAGCTACCCCAGAGCTATACGCGAAAGTGAGCCGCGCCATTCGCGCGCTTGCGCAACTTAATTACATGAATTTGTTCTATTACTCTCTCACGTTTTACTTAATTACTTTATTTGCATAAGTCATACATCAACATTTTACCATACACAATTCTAAATACATTACATTTTCATATCACGAAAAACCTTTTATTTATTAAACAAAATGTGCCTATTTTACTCACAAGTTCGAAGTCGAAATTTCTTAAATATTTAACACAGAAAGTTAAAACAATGTTTTCCACTTGAAATTATACATAAGTTAACTAATACAATAGTTTAATTTACATTTTCTCTATTTATTTCACTATTTAAAACACTTTTAAATTTCTTATACAAAACCATCATTATTTCACTTATACACAGGAATTTTCACATAAAAATAACACAGAAATCACCTTTTTAGCACGTAAAATCAACCTGAAATGTTTTACAAGTCATTTTTACATAAATTGCTGAAATTACAAACATTTTAAATTTTTACATATTCGGCCTCCTAAGGGCGTGGCTCAGCGTGCGTCTGTGAACTCACACTATTTGAACAACTAACTTTTGTACGGCTCTCGGCTATCAGAAAAAATGGAAGTCTGATATACACCAATCTTAACAATATTAGGTAAATTAAATGCTTTTACACAATTTTCGAACTGTAGGAAACTATCTCTAATCAGATTCTTATCAGTTATCATGTTTCTTATCAAAACAATATAAGTGAATGTTCTCATAAATCAATTCATGACAAATAGGCATTTGTTTTCGTACAAAACATATCAAACTCATATAAAACAATACTTATGCAATTAATTTCCGTTAATTCTGTTTATGCACAGAGTGATCATCTCGACCGGGGAACAAATCCGATCTTTAACTTTATTTAAATATTCCTTTGAATTTACATCATTGGAAAGATGATTTCAACCGGGGAACCAATCCGGTAGCATAATTTATAAAATTCCCTATATGAATTTATTGAAAGATATTACTTAGGAAAACAATAAACTAGTCCGCCTGGAGTCGAACCCAAGACCTTCATATCATTAATTCGACATTTCTTCAAGATTTAACTAAGCATTTTCTTATCAGAACATTGCTATTGGACAACGTGCCTTTGAGAAGTTATTCGTCATCGGTTGACTTAATAAACTGAAATATTCTTATAGGCGCGTCGCCAACAGCCACGTTGTACCAAGTTGTGCCAAGTTATTTATTTTATGTGCTTTTGTTACAGATATTCCCCTAAAAGTCCAAATAGACCCAGATGTCAACACCTCCGGAAGGGTGTTTATAAATGCGAGTCAATAACTATGCGAGACGTGATGAACTTTCATGCGGCGTTTTATAAATATCACAATAAGGAAACACAAGATGCTTTTCTTCTAAAATACTGCGTCCCTGTAATTCCCAAGAGAAAAAGACCTAAAAATAAGAAACATCATCCGATAACCATTCATACAGATTACAGCATTTACAGTGTCTCATAGAAAAAAATAACAATATGTCAGAAAGCGTTCCTCGGAATTTTAAACATTACTAAACATCGAGTACAGTATATTGCTAAAAAGTTTGTGTAATCGGGTGGACAAGCAGTAAAAGTTAAAAGAGGCGCTGACCACAAGTCCCATTTATTCACAGAGAAAAAAAAATGCTATAATAATAATAAATATGTTTCACGTTGACGAAGCACATTACTGTAGGGGACATTCTGAACGGAGATATTTACCTGCAGAACTTTCAATTAACAAAATGTGGAAAATGTACAACAAACAGCCAAATCTTGAAGCAAATTTAAAAGTCAAAAAAGGTCTGGTCAGAAAAATTTTCAATAACAACTATAACCTCGGTTTTGGCAGTCCTAGAACAGATGTATGCTCGACATGTATTCTACTTCTAGAAAAAATTAAAAGAGAATCAGATGAGGCACAAAAGCAACGACTTATGGTAGAACATAGGGTTCACAAACTTAAAGCTAAAGCATTTTTTAATTTAGTGAGAGAAGAAAGACCCAATTTAAAAACATTCTCATTTGATTGTGAAAAAAATCTACCTAATGGTAGATTTTTTTTTTGATCAGATAACTTATTATTCCAGACAGCTTTATCTATATAACTGTACTATTGTAGAAGGTTTATCAAAGGCTCCTCTGACAACACAAAATGTATTCGCCTACTGTTGGACCGAAGACCAATATGCCAAAGGAGCTAACGCAATTGCTTCCATAGTATATCACAGACTGATGAACACGAATTTGACAGATATAAGTACGATCAGATTGATAGCAGATGGATGTCCGGGGCAAAATAAAAACTCGATAATGATAGCGATGTGTTCGAAGTGGTTAAGTAGTTCGGCATCTGATCACGTGCAAAGAATTGAAATAGTTTTTCCTATCGTAGGACACTCTTTCATTGCACCCGACCACGTATTTTCTCATGTGGAAAAGGATGTGAGAAAGTTGGAGTGTATATTAAGACCGGAGGATTACCTTGAGATTATAGGCACTTATAGCACAATAGTTCGTATGGGTTCTGATTGTGAAGTCCTAAACTTTAAGAGTGGAATGAGTTCAGTTATAAAGGATGTCGGCTCTTGGCACTTCCAATTTAAATATTGCAAAAGATTTTTAATACAGCGGTCAAAAGAAATTGGTAATGTTGTAATTCAAGGGGAAGTGCACTATACCAATAATTTGGGTGTATTGAAGAAAATAACTCGTAAAAATAAAAAGGCCTCTGATTTGAACCCTGAAGTGATTACTCAAAACATTGTGAGAATCAAACCTGCAAAATTGGTAGACGTAAAAAAACTATTAACCACTCATTTTGGAAATGAATGGGAAAATGAGGAGGGATTTTATTTTTATAGAAGTGTTTTATCACATACATCAAGCCTAGAAGAAGAGGAAGATGCATCACAAGAAGTTACTTGTGAATTGCAAGTCGAGGAAAGATGTCTATAGTTTAAGAGTACTTGATTTTCTGAAGTTTACCTAAGGATAATAATACTTGTTTTTTTTAATTGCATGATTGTTTATTTTGTTGAAGTTTTACGTAAAGTGCCATTCAGTATATTATATTTTTATAAAAACCAGCGACTGATTGATAAGTAATAAAAAAGAGTTAAATATATATTAAGAGTTAAATATATAAATATCAAGATTGTGGTGACCAGATACATTATGGTGATCATCGGTAACAAACATGGCTATCTCCATGCCTGTCTAAAACAAACACGGCAATATTCGAAACTTTCAAACAAAGTCGGCAATCTCCAACGGTTATTTGTGAATTCTGCTTTAAAAAGGCAATATATGTTTAATAAAACAGAGTAAAATGATCATTCTCATTGTACATTCCATATTTAAAAAATATCTAAGTTAAGGGATAAATAAATTTCACAAAATACGTTTTTATCACTTTACACAAAATTCAACGAAATGGATATTGCCGCCTTTGATATTAGATGACTCAAATTATTCCTTAGACGCCATCTCGTGTCATGGAATATAGATTATGAAATTAATATGTTCAGATGCGACATTTCTGTGGGTACTTAAGTATAGGACTAATATAATATTATTATACAATTTTTTTTTGTAGAAACATATACAAGTTATTATAATTAGGCCAAATTTTTCATATTTAAATTTGCTTATTATTCTTTTATTTTATTTTTAGGTTTCAACATCAAAGTCAAAGTGGAATAAATTCATTCGTCCATTTTTAACTCTCGCGTGCCCAGCGTTGATGAACGACTCTTGTTCTAATTTAAATGAATATATTTGTAATTTAAAGGTTATGTTAATAAGTTTTGTTAAACGTACATTTAGTATGTTTTTTTTAATATTTGACATAGATACCCTTTAAAATATTCAGATAAAATATGATTAAAGTGTAATTTTGATAATATTATGTAATATTATATTAAATAAGCATATATAATATACAAAATAAATGACAAAATTTAAATATTGTTCTCGATATAATTTACCTATTTATCAATACCTACAATCTACTATTACCTACGGATCATTCTACCTATGCTTATTCTATGATAAAAAAACCAACCGCGCGAACACAGAGTAGCGCACATTTTTTGTTTGAAATAGCTGTTCTAGTACGTAAATACATATTACTTCAATGGCTATAGTCTATGATGTTTAAAATTTTTGGTAATTTATTATACAGCAACATGAATAATATTATGGTGTCTATGGCCACAACATCTATGCACTCGGGGGTCAGGTAGGCAAACTATTTGCTCACATAGACATTATTATATTTCATTACATTGTTGAAAAAGAAAATAAATTCGTTCAAAAAGCAAACTTCTTTTTATACTAAGTGCGTGAGGGTAATATGATCACCTTAAGCTTTGCCGCCTTATAAAACTAAAACGGTGAGAAAGACAGAGACAAAAACACAAAGTCGTATACTATAGGTAACTAACATAACATAAACACTCACGCCTGTCACCCAGAGGGGTAGGCAGAGACTACAGACTTCCATTTGGCACGATCCTGACACACCTCTCTCGCCTCCTTCACATCCATACACCTACGCATACATGCTCGTCGGTTAAGGGTACTCCTAATTTGGCCCGTTTTCAATAAATCGCCAATTTGGTCGATAAATTTTCGCCTAGGACGTCCCTTTCCGACTCTGCCATTCACTTCTGCAACATAATTTTTTTTGTCACTCTTTCCTCATTCATTCTTTCCACATGACCAAACCACCGAAGCATTCCTTTCTTAATCCTGGTCACAACATCATCTTACAAACCACACTCTTCTCTTATTACACAATTTCTTACCCTGTCGTTCAGCTTCAGCCCTAACATACTCCTTAACGACCGCATTTCTACTGCGTTGATTCTACTCTCGTGCTTCTTCTGCCACACCCAACTTTCACTACCATACGTTAAAGTAGGGACTAACACAGCATTGTGAATTGCCATACGTGCCTTTTTTGACACATTTTGACTCTTCACAATAGAGTGCATGGCCCCATTTACTCTATTTCCCGCATTCACTCGTCGTTCTATATCCTTATCATATCTCCCATCCCTGCTAAATACGCAGCCCAAATATACAAACTCATCTACTTGCTCGATCAACTCCCCTTCTATTCTTATTTCACAAATCGTTTTACTTTCTTCTCTTTCAAAAACCATAACCTTCGTCTTACTTGCGTTCACTTTCATACCCCTTTCTTTTAATGATCTGTTCATTAATGTAACCATCATTTGCAACTCGGCCGCCGACGACTCAAGGATAACTTAATCATCGGCGTACAAAAGGCATTTGACGGTTAACTCACCCATTCTTAATCTGCATTCTTCAACTTTCAAATTTTGCAAACAACTATCCATAAATAGGTTGAACAGCCACGGGGAAGCCACACAACCCTGTCTGACACCTTTATGGATGTCAAACAAGTCCGAGTAGACCCCGTCGATCCTAACACAAGCACTAGAGTCCCTATAAAGAGACTCCAATGCCTGTATCAAGCCAGTGTTCAACCCAAATGAGTTCAGTGTTTACCATCCCTATCCACTCTGTCATATACCTTTTCCAAGTCCATGAACGCACAAAAAACCTTTTGGTTTTTGGCCAAAAACTTTTCCGCGATCATGCGCATGGAAAAGACTTGATCTGTACATCCCATTCCCTTTCTGAATCCCGCTTGCACATCCCAAATTTTTCCATCAGTTTCTTTTATGACCCTTTCAATCAGTACCTTAGCATACAGTTTTCCCACAATGCTAAGAAGGCTGATGCCACGGTAGTTTTTACAGTCCTGCTGCGACCCTTTTCCTTTACAGTACTTTACTTTTCCTTTACACTACTTTACTTTACACTACTTTACTTTTTTGTTACTAACATATTAAGAAAAAAATAGCAAACAAGCTTTGGTAATATTTAGGAACACTTCGAAAAATTTAATTAAAAAAACTAACTACACTGTACTATACCAAAATCGACTAAAATATTTTTATAATGTTAACTGTCAAATGGCGTTGATAAAGCATCGCCCTTTTGAGCCTTTATTATTTGATTGACCGATGAAGAGTTATCGTATCACAAAGCTATCTATGCAAACAAGGCTGTAAAATAATTATACTTAGATATTTCACATTCAAAAGGCTTAGACAAAAGATATTAAAATGTTAAGATGTAAAAATAGGTATTTCAGCGGTTTTTCTTGTGACCAACTTCAATAACGGCAAAAATACCTGAATGCTACGAAAACTATACCTACAGTGCATAGGATATATATATTTTTATAACACCGTAAGCGTAACCGCGAGTACAGTGGTCTTATGGGTATACGTTCGCTGTGTTTTTTTTTTCTTAACACCTGAGTTTGAATTTAGTGCAAGACTTACGGGCACAATCACGAGCTGCAATAAAGCAATACCAATACAATCCAAGTAACCAAGCATTCTATTACTAAAAAGTTTTTGTGTGTTTAAGCGACAGTAGCCTAATGGCAGAGCGCGGACCGCGATCTCAAAAAGATCGTGGGTTCGAATCCGCCATTCGACAACTGGCGTGAACCACTCGTAACGCAAGCAATTTGAGCTTACCACGAGTGGTTAGTAAAGAGCCGTGGTAGCTCAGATGGTTAGCGCTCGCTATAAATTTCACAGTACGCGAGCAAACCGGGTTCGATCCCCGCCGGCACCAATGAAATTGTTAATTGCAATTTTAAGTACTGATTTACCATCTGCTCGGCGGTGATGGAAAACATCGTGAGGAAACCTGCATGTCTGAAGAATAAGAAAAAAATATTTCGAAGCCATGTGAAGTTCGCCAACATGCATTGGGCAGCGCGGCGGGCACTTCCTTGCCCTAAAATCCTCTCAGAAATGAGGGAAGGCCTGTGCCCAGCAGTGGGACGTATATAGGCTGTAACTTTACTTTACTTTTTTTACGAGTTATTAAGGGGAATATTAGTAATGTTTATAGCATTGTGAATATTCTTTTTTTTAAATTAAAAAAATAATAAGAAAGTGACCATACTGTCCGGGTTATTATTACCCTCACGTACTATGTATGTACATATATTAATGTTATTTTGTTTACGGCATTATTGTTTAAAAAATAAATTTCTTTAATTTCTATAATTTTAATCATTGTAGTCTATTAAACCTAATCGTTCGTTAACTATAACTACGCAACAACCCGCAGTGTAACTGATTTCTGTTTTCTGTCAGTTAAACTAAAAGTGATATTTAAACCGAACTGTCTGTCGGAGTCGATAATAAATTGGTAAGAAGGCGGAGGCCTATGAGCCTGTTTGGAAGAGGCTCCGCCCTCCAGTGAAGCCTCTTCTATTTATCTCACTCTCGCAAAGTTTTCCGATGTCGCTTTTTAAAGGTCGGATTGTGTGCAATTGGGTTAAAGTAACTATGATACCATATTTTTGTCTATTCTGTTTAATTAAAAATTTTATAATTTTATAACTATAATTTCAATATATAGGTAGATTTTGTTTAAGAAAATATATTAAAACAATATTAAATGTTAAAAGAAAACCGAAAGCTTTAATCAAAGTTAAAAAAAAAACATTGTAATGATTTCTTATATTTACGCGAATACTGCGTATTAAATGAAACTAATTTTACTGATTTTATTGCGTTTAATTTTTAATTTTTAATTCCCATAAACCATGGAACGTCGGGAATTAAAAATTTGAAATAAAACGCAATAAAATCCTCAAAATTAGTTTCATTAATCATGTTTGTCTAGCTGTCTCTTTGTATTTAGATTTCTTTTTTTAATAATGAATAGGTCTTCAAACATGCTATGAGGATAGATTACAGTCAAGCACTGGTACCTATGTTATAAGTAAAAAAAACTGATCAAGTCTGTTATATTCATAGATTCATAGACATTTCTTACATACAGATAGTAATGATATGTCATATTATCAGAATCGCGAGAAAAAATAAATT